AGTAAAATATGACTCTTCAGAACCATCAAAACTTGAACTTCCAATGCCGGGCACTCCAATACCTGCTGAAATTCATTATACTTTGCTTATGGATCCAATGAATGTTTTCTACCCAGGAGAATATGTTGGGTACCTTGTTGATGCTGAAGGTGGTGATATCTATGGATCATACCAGCCAACATACACATATGCAATTATTGTACAAGAAGTTGAAAGAGAAGATGCTGACAATTCTAGTTTTCTAGGAAAGATCTATCAGATTGATATTGGTTATAGTGAATATAAAATAGTTAGCTCTCTTGATCTGTATAAGTTTTCAAGGCCTGAGGAAAGCTCTCAAAGCAGAGACAGTGCCCCTTCTACACCAACCAGCCCTACAGAGTTCCTAGCACCTGGTGTACGAAACATTCCTCCTCTTTTCTCTGGAAAAGAAAGCCATAAGACCTCATCTTCAAAACATCATTCTCCCAAAAAGCTTAAGGTAAATTCTTTACCAGAGATTTTAAAAGAAGTGACAACAGTGGTGGAGCAAGCTTGGAAGCTTCCAGAATCTGAAAGAAAAAAGATTATTAGACGGTTATATTTGAAATGGCACCCTGACAAAAATCCAGAGAATCATGACATTGCTAATGAAGTTTTTAAACATTTGCAGAATGAAATTAACAGATTAGAGAAACAGGCTTTTCTAGATCAAAATACAGACAGAGCCTCAAGGCGGACATTTTCAACCTCAGCAGCCCGATTTCAGTCAGACAAGTACTCGTTTCAAAGATTTTATACTTCATGGAATCAAGAAGCAACAAGCCATAAATCTGAAAGGCAACAGCAAAATAAAGAAAAATGCCCACCCTCAGCTGGACAGACTTACTCTCAACGGTTCTTTGTTCCTCCAACTTTCAAGTCAGTTGGTAATCCAGTTGAAGCACGTAGGTGGTTGAGACAAGCCAGAGCAAATTTTTCAGCTGCCAGGAATGACCTTCATAAAAATGCCAATGAATGGGTATGCTTTAAATGTTACCTTTCTACTAAATTAGCTTTGATTGCTGCTGACTATGCTGTGAGGGGGAAGTCTGATAAAGATGTAAAGCCAACTGCACTTGCACAAAAAATAGAGGAATATAGTCAGCAACTTGAAGGACTGACAAATGATGTCCACACATTGGAAGCTTACGGTGTAGACAGTTTAAAAACAAGATATCCTGACTTGCTTCCTTTCCCACAGATTCCAAATGACAGGTTTACTTCTGAGGTTGCTATGAGGGTGATGGAATGTACTGCCTGTATCATAATAAAACTTGAAAATTTTATACAACAAAAAGTGTGAAAGTATTTAAGAAAAAAAATAGAGCTAGATCTTGAATGTATTATAACACAAATATGAATTGCTGTCCTTCCTGACTTCATTGCCACTTATTTAGGAATTGTAGATTGCAAAGAATTTTGGAGTTCTTATGAATATCAATATCAATAGAAGATCTTTACAGAATCTAAAATAAAATTATTTTGAAGATGATGGTGAACTGAAAAATTGCTAGATGTATTTGAATGGCTAGGATGGCACCATTTTGAACTGCACTTTATATCATCAAAGCTTGTTAGAGAAGAATATGTCTCTGTTTAGAGTGAATTTTATGTTTTTAACATGGTATTTTTGAAGGGGCTAATGAAACACTGGAATATCATTGCTTTAAACAAATAAGGGGAATTAAGTCTTGGAATTTTATCCTTTATTTAAATGGGTCATCTTGGATGTGCTGTTTTATTATCAGCTGGATCTGATTATGAATTTGTTGCAATTTTACGTCCTAAATACTCAGTACATTTAAAAAATGGTACCATATTTTAATCCTGAATATTACTTGACTTAGAATAGGCAGATAGTACTTCTAGGGTGCACTGAGTGTACATTGCATCTTTATTCTAAAAGTTTTTTACACCTAATGTTTACAGGTTTCCTCTTTCATGAAGATAGCATATGGAAAACTCAAAATTGTGACAGTTCTTATCACCAGATGTTATTATATTGCTTCCAAGAACTGCTTACCAAAACAACATTTATCAGCTGATAGAACATTTGCTTTAAGTTTGTACATATTTTCCACAAGTGTCATAATTTATATAGTGTGGTTGAGCAGGATGCAATCCTTTGTTGTCTAAAGGTGCTGCAGTTAAAAAAAAATCTTTTGTCTTTCAACATGGCACTTGGTGGAGCCTTTAGGATTTTACTTTGGAAAACATTGAAAAAAATGTATTGTGACAATATCCAGTAGTTTATAAAAGAGGAATTATCAGCTTGTATTTTTCCCATGAGTGATTCTGAACTGACAACTAAATTATGTTTGAATGTCCTACCATAGGTATTTACTTAACATATTTCTTTTGAAGAATGTAAAAGAAAGGTAATGATAATTAGTTTAAATACATGTGCAGGCTATAAATGATGCTAAATATAATATTTTATGCAATTAAAGACTTATGGAACAATAAAACTTTTTTACTTTTATTGGTAATAAGGAATGCACCTCCATGATTCTGTTGGTTCTGGATGTGAAGCCCTGTAATTATTTCTGCTGTTATATTAAGTGCCATAATTTTAATAAAGCAAATATACATATTAAATCATTGTAACTGGTATTTTCTGAGAAATAGTTCATTGAAAATCAAACAGTATTTCCCTATATTAAGTTTTGATATGTGTATTGTATATATGAGTTTATAGGAAATATTACAATTAAATTTCCCTATATTTTTATAATGGAATTTTAATAGGTTTCTTTTTGTATGATTGAACATAAAGTACTAGGTTTATTAGGTTCTTATTGATTAAAGAGTTCATTTTACATTTTAGGAAATAAGATTAGTTGATATATATGGTATATACAGGTGGGGCAAAAGTAAGTTACAGTTGTGAATATGTGAAAGTTTATTCTGTATTATTATTTATTAATTGTATTATTTTCCATAAAAACAACTATAAACCTACTTTTGCCCCACCTATATATTTATGGATTTGGAAATACTTTAAATATGATTATTCTGTAGGTAGTGGCTGAATTGATATTTTCCTTGTCTCAGGAGAGGGCTTCATGTTTGGGCTAATTCACACTTGAGCCCTACCTAGCAGGTAGGAAATGTTCATCTTTATATCTGAGATTCAAGTCTTCAAAGTTAGTCAGAGAAGTGCTGAGAGTTCTGTCTTCTAGGACTACCCAAATTCTGGATCTTCAGCTTTCTGGGCATTTTTAAAGAAGTACTTGCTACTTTGGAACTCAGTTTCAGCACTTAGAATGTATTTTATTGTTTGGGGGTATTAAAACTTACACAGGAAACCTTGTCTGGCCTTTATGAGAGTTGATCCAGTTGGAGTTATTGAGGGATTCTTTTTTTAGACTTTATTTTAAAAGAAATATTTTTTATTGTTGATAGTATTACAGATATCTGCCATTCTACACCCCCTCTTCACCCCCGCTCCCAGCCCCTACCCACCCCTCAATGTCTTCACTAACCTATTGCCCGTGTCCATGTAGGCTTTCTTTTTTAAAAAATTACAGGTTCAGCTCTAACATGTGTGGCTCAGTTGGTTGGGTGTCCCGTGCACCAAAAGGTTGCCAGTTTGATTCCTAGTTAGCAAACATGCCTGAGTTGTGGGCTCAATCCCTGGTAGGGAGCATATAGGAGGCAGCTGAAAGATGTTTTGCTCTCACATCCGTATTTCTCTTCCTCTCCTCTTTAAAATTCAATTAAAAAAATTTAAAGTTACAGGTTCACAATCCTTTGTATCAAACCCTTGGATTCAAACCCTTGGATTGGGTTTTAGGAAGTTTTTAATGAAGCATTCTCATCAAGTTGATGTTTTTGCAGTGAAATCAATGACTATTCACATTGAATTGAATACATAGATCAGATAAATAGCCTCATCTAAATTTAGGTCAGGTTTTGCTACTGACATATTTGGGAAATTTTCATTTGGGGGAGCATTTTAGAATTTGAAATTCAAGGCAAGAAATTTGGGGCCTGAACTAATCATCTTATGCTTTTTCTTTCTTTTCCCCTGTTATGCTTTTTGTATTAAAAGGAAAATGGAAACTCAGCGGTATGTAGAGTAGCTGCTCCTGAGTAGCATGCAGTCTAGAACGGTTGGAACAGGCTCCTGCACTTGAGCAGGTCCTGCCAGGTTAGAGAGGGATGAAAGTTTCCTGGGCAGAAGGGCTGAATTGTTCATAGCCTCCATGAGAAAACTAGTGAACACCTGCGCAGCCCAATTAGTTTAAACACCAAGCTGGAGGGGGAGCAGGGCGTGGTGAGAGCCCAGGAATGATGTTGGTAAAATGCTCAAATTGTGTTTAATAAAATAAAGTTGTTCCCAGGTCTGATTGGGGGTGGGTGGGATTTTCTTCTATTTGTACAAGTTTGCTGTACTTTTTTTTAGATGTCAAGAATAAAATTTGTAGTGCTGGTAAAAATAAAAAATAGAAAAGATTTTAATTAGTCATGTATTAATCAGGGTTTACAACCACTAAATATTATTTCACAAACCAAGAGTCTGATTTTATGAAGTTATATCTAGTCTTTTATCTATTGTGTATAGGTAAATACACAGGATGGACAGTTATGAGTCCTACCACCTACTAGCTGTTTAATCTTGGTGGATGACAAAACACATCTGGACTTTAGTTCTTTCATTTGTCAAAAGAGTATTATCCCATCTACACATTTATGTAGATTGGTATTTTGGATGGAATGAAACAACATATAAAAGTTTTTCCATGTGAAAACGGCTGTTCAAAAGTAGGGTCACAGTTTAATTTCCAGTAGATATTGTATGACCTTGTGACTTGTTCTACCTGAACCATTTTTTATCACCAGTAACGGGGAAAATAATACCTACCTCAAGGAGTTGTGAGGATTAAAGAAAATAAGATGCTCAAACTGTGAAGTTTGGGGGGGGGGGGGGAATGTAGGTTGATTTTTATTGCTCATTGACTATAAAGAAAGCATGATTAATTTTGTATATTTATTCCTTTGACTACAGATCAACCTTAAAGTCCATTTAAAATATGAACATTTTCTTGTGAAACTTGACATACTTCGCATTAAAATGAATAGAGAACTCACAGGTTTGAATGATAAAATGAAAACACATCATAGAACTTTGGGTCATCTTAGTATTGACTAATGCTACTTTTAGGGGGAGTTAGCCACAATTGAACATCATAAATTAATTCCACACAGCAATTCACTATTTCATTGTAGATTGACATGTACAAGAAAGGAAAAGAAAATTCACAAGGTTCTGATGAAATCAATCTAGTAGAATAAACTTTCTTTTGTTACTTCTTTGGCTTTTGCATCTACCACCCACACACCATTCATCTGAACCCTTTCATTGGCACAGTTTTCTTTTGTCCTACTTCCATCCACCACCTCAGTTTTCCAGGGTGTCAAGTTGCTCTAAGAGTGAAGGCTTGAAGTCTCTAAAGTTCACTGAAACAAGGCAGATTCTCCATGGAAGATATGGGTAGTTTAGGAACAGATGTGACTGTTTTCGTGGCATGTGGTACTTGTGCCAGCCACAGACAGGTAAAGCTTCCCATCTGGGCACACACAAATTTCATAGAGTCTTTGTGAGCTGCCAACAGGACCCCAAGTCCCATGAACCAACTTGGGTAAACATACAGTTTCAGAATCAAGCACAAGCTGTTTGGGAGAAAATGAAAGATTAATTGGTAAAGGAGGAATGAACACGATAAGATAAAACGCATATTCTCAAAATGTTCTAAACAAATTAGTTTTTCTCAGCATAGAAAATGAAATAAGCACCTGCTTTTACTTGTTATAATTATCTGAATCTTTTATAGCCTATTTCTATTTTACATTCAGGCAAAGTGTTAATAATTCCTTCAATTTGAAGTCATTTTTACTTTTACCCATTGTGCCAGTTGAACTAGGAAAATTTATAATGCTACACTCACAAAAATGTCTTTCAGAATTACCTGACAAAAGTAAAAATAGAATTCATTTGCTGATTCACATTTATCTTGTGATCCACTTTGACTTTATGTTAAATCATCTAGTCACTATTAGGATAAATTACAAGCCACAGAAATAGATTAATCTAAATAATTTTTACCTGTGAATGTTGGCGTTTCTCCTGATTTTATTTTCTGTGAAAGGCAATTACATTTATCCTATTAGCTAGCAACCATTTCCCTAACTTTAAACATATTTGAAACTCCTGCCTTCTATTAGATGCAGAAAAGCAGTAGATAGTGATAAAAGCCAACTAAAATAAAATAAAAGCTACTGAATTTTATGTTCCTATTACAGTTAAACTGAAATGCAAACAAATGGCTATTGGTGGAGATTTGGAAATGTTTTTTGATCACTGAAGGCAATAAATATTGTCGCACTGAGTTGCAAACCGTACCTATTCCTTCTTAGAAGGAATTAAAGCATGTTGTGGGTAGGTATAATGATCTGTTTTGCCAACAAAGTTAGATCCTTTATTTTATGTGGCTCTCATCCTTGAACTCCAATCTTTTAATAAATTGATGTTTTCAGGCGTCCTTCCTCCCAGGACACTGACCGCTGCCATGTGAAGCAGTAGGTGAAACAGTATTAGTGGCATTACAGGAAAAGCTTTACCCTTATGGTCTGGGACTCCTAGAATAAAAGGAATAAAATGGGTATTTTTGAAAAAAGCAGAACCTATTTAATAGGTTATTGCCCAGTGCTTTGGGTTCTGTGGGTACTTGCTTTTTCCCATGTGTGTTTGATTATTTTTAGCTTGTCTGCTTTTCCTCTCTCCTTTTTTTATGGATAATTGGTAAATTTTTTTCTAATTATTTTTTTCCAGCAAACTCTAGTCACTGGTAGTTCATGTACCTCTTCATTGCTCATCTTTTTATGCTTTTGTGGGACAATATTTTGTAGGAGGCCACACATTGCTTCACTCTGAACTGGCCCCCAGTAATAAGGGAGAGGAACTTTATGAGTCAGACTGCTAAAATTGACACATAATTCATGCGGGGAAAAGTCATGTTATTTAAAAATTACAGTCCATATAAATTTTTTACAGTTAATGTATTTTAAGAATGTAGTGACATTATGAATTAGTAATAAGATTCCAAATGTCTTGATTTCCATTTTTGCATTTATCTGTTAATGGTATCATAACTTTTTAAAGTTAAAACTTGCAGGAGCTTTGCCAGAGGACTTTTAAATTCCGTTCACTGGCTGTCAGCCGGGTCCTGTCTACATTAATGAGCTGCCTCTCCTGGCCTCCATTTGTTGCCTCAACTACACCTTCCTCTTAATATTAAATTACATAATTTCAAAATGTTGCCACCCATATTACCATATTGGTGTCTTATAGCCCTATGACATAGTTAAGCAAATATTATTTCCCCTATTTGACAAATGAGAACATAGGGCCCAGTGAACCCTGTTATCTTTCCTGAATTCAAATAGGTAATCCGTGAATTGACCTAGCACTAGAACAATCCAGGTTGAGTAGCATGTGCTCCATTGCCTCGCTGTAACTGTGGCCTCTATCAGTAATGTTTTATTTCTGGACTTGAAGTTCCAGATTTTATCCTTATTGTAATTTACTTTTAAAGATCATATTTTCATTTAAACATAATTTGGCATTAGAAAGCCCAGTGCTATAAGCGGTAACAGATAATGGTTGTCACTTACAGGTACCTTCCAATGACCATATTGAGAGAAATTGAATCACTAGGAAATGGAAAGTTGATATTCTCTGTAAACTCTGAAAGTCTGTAGTATTTTTTCAAAGCTGAAAATAACAAGAGACTTGATGGCACAAATACCAGTCAAAGAAAGCTGTCTGGATTCAATATGGAATTATTTTAAACTTTCTTAGACCTTCTTTCAATGCTAAATTAATATTTGCCTTTGTTTCACATTTTCTACTCTATGCTTTTTGTAACATTTCTTTATAAACTACCATAAATTTAAGATACTGATACCTTACGGACATGAGTATTGTCAAGACATGCAGTAGGAGCTTGATCAATTGAACTCACCATTCCATCATTACTATGAAAAATGATGTCCATTTGAGAAAGGGCCTTGATTTTCCCAGCATGAGCTTGCATATGAACACCCTTTGGGGCATCCATGCTTAGACTTCGTGTGGGAGATTCTAATCTGAAATGAGAGAGAGAAACCAAGGAAAAATAGTATTTAAAAAAGCCACCCCAAGAATGCCTCAATGAACAGCTTAGCACAGAAAATATGATCAATAAGATATATAGTATCTTCACATCATTCTTGAATGCTAATAAAATGTACATTATTTAAAAATCCAGAGATAATGTGTAGTAAAGAAATTCACTTCCTATTAGTGAGAGTCTATTGAAATAGTATCCTCTAAAAACAGATAAAACAGTAGAGAGCCCTAACCCTATGCAGTGGCTTCAGACGACATGGTTAAGCACTCTGGCATTGCACACCAGAAGAAAATGCTATTTGTGAATAAGTTTGTAAAATTATATTTTTAGTTAAAACACAAACTTTTCTGGAAAAATAGACAAATTTAAGGGCAACATGTGCATCTGCTACATATTTAAAAACTAGAATGTAAGTTAGGCATTCAGATTTTGGTTGCTTTTTAAAAAATTTAGGAAAGTTACAGGGCAGATACAAAGATTTATTTTGGAAAAATACATGAAATGATGGAGTTAATACACAGGATGGAGAATGACCTCAGCTGGCTTTACAGTATACTCATAAAATTTATCAGAATCTCTGTGATTAAGTCAAACATAATACAGAAATTCTAGGAATATATGCACCAGAAAAAAATCTCTTATTTTTCTCTGCCTGGAAAACACTGAATTTCCACCTTATGGCACAATGTGATTACTTGAAAGATTTTTCAATTGCTCCAACCCAACTCCAAAGTTTAAAAGGCTGTTTGATTGACATGTTTAAAGATCTATGAGAGGAAGAACAGAATAGAAAAGGATCTGCATCCTCCGGGAGAGTAAGATTAGAGTGCAGGTGTGTCAGAGAGAAAAAGGGAAGTGATGAAGAAGAGAGAAGTACCATGTTAAGGAATTTGCATGTGAATTGACTGAATATTTATTTGACAGAGTTTTTAAATCAGATGGTTGCTGTCTTCAATTGGCAAGTTTTTTGTCTATCACTATTTGCAATAGTAAACAAAGTTTCGTTCTCTTGTATACATCTCAATATGTGAAATTTTATCTGTTACACATGTTAAAAGTTTAGCTTGAGTATGAGAAAACACTTAGAGATAATTATGGAATTTATTCGTCTAATTATGTTGGGTTTAGGTCATGGGCAAACACTGGTATTTCTATATAAGCTTGGTCAACCTCAGCAAATTTCAACCGGTGTGCCACAATAATTTTTAAAACATGCAATACCTCACTAATTAGTCAGGACACTGACCTCTTTTCCCTCTGATTGTCAAATAAAATAATGACAACAGCCAATACAACAATAGTCATCCTTTGTGAATGAATCAAAATTATACCTTTTTTTGTCAGATTAGCAAAAAATATTTATTGGTGGGCTGCAGAAGTTTAATAATTAGTTTATGTGAGCCATGAGATGAAAAAGTTTGAAAATCATTGATTTAGCTGGTTGCCCATTTTTACTATTTTGACCTTTGCAAATTGCATACTTATTTCCTGCCTTAATTGATAGAAAGGAGGGGAAGAGGAAGGGAAGGAAGAAGACATGTAAGCAACCTGTAAAGGTCTGGTCCATTTCAGGCAAACCATTTGTGAACTGGAATACCCTAGTAAAGGTGAATCTGTTTAAAATATCTGTTGTCAACAAAATTGACTCAATAGGGCCAATTACTCATTTTTAACCAGATCATAAAATGGTGCTTCTAGAAGAGCAGATTTCTTCTTCTTTGCCATCATTTCTAGCCTTGAAGATGAAATATTTCAGTTTAGCACAACTTAAGACTCATTAGTCAAAGAACATATATGCATAGCCCATGAACACAGACAACAGTGTGGTGATGGCCAGAGAGAGGGTGGTGGAGTTGAATGGAGGTGGGTGAAAGGGAGAAAGTGGGGGACATCTATAATAGTGTCAAGAATTTTTTTAAAAGACTCACTTTTACCAGAGTCTGTGATTAAAATGCTCTGAAGTATACATCTCTATAAACACATTGAAGAGGAGTCAGATATTTTAATAATTTAATTTAATAATTTAATGTTTTCTTTTTGTTATGTTTTAGTTTGCTAGTTATATCTACCCTTTTCTTCAAATATGTGAATATATAAACATTTTTCAATGACTTATATAAAGAGAAAAAGTTTTGAGCACTTACAGAAAGCAATGCAAATAAACAAATATATACACATATACACAAAATACATATCGTAAAAGCACAATTAAGATAATTTGGTTGCTAAAGCAGATGAGTTTTCAGTTGTATTCCTTTTAAAATAAAGAAAACAGAATTCATTAACTTCACAAAGATATGCACATATTTATTAAAGTATAGCTGGTGTGCAAGATTCTATTAATTTTAGGTGTACAACAGTTGCCATTTTAATCTTAAGATGTGCTCACCACACAGCAATGGTGGTGGGAGCCTCTTCTGCCTCCTCAGCAGCACTAAGGATGTCTGACTGCAGCTTAGGCCTGCTCCCCGCTGGCAAGTGGACATCCCCCGAGGGCTGCCGAGCTGCCAGAGGGATGTCTGACTGCCAGCTCAGGCCCAATCCCTCAGGGAGCAGGCCTAAGCCAGCAGGTGGTCATCCCCTGAGGGGTCCCAGACTGCGAGAGGGCACAGGTCGGGCTGAGGGACACCCCCCCCCCGAGTTGCGAGAGGGCACAGGTCGGGCTGAGGGACACACCCCCCCCCCCCGAGTGCACAAATTTTTGTGCACCGGGCCTCTAGTTGACTATATTCGCTTTCACCTTCTATACCTATCACTCTACCACCCTGTCTGGCAACCATCAGTTTGTTCTTTGTTTCTATGAGTCTGTTGTTTGTTCTTTAATAGAATACATTTATATAAAATAAAATTCTTTTTTTTCAATTACACTTGACAACCAATATTATTTTGTTTTAGTTTCTGGTGTACAGTATAGTGGTTAGACAATCGTAAACTTTACAAAGAGACCCCCTACCCCCTGATATTTTAAGTACCCACCTGGCATGATACATAGTTATTACAATATCATTGACTACTAGAGGTCCGGTGCATGAAATTTCTGCACGGGGGGTGGAGAGGGGGAAAGAGGTGTCCCTCAGCCCAGCCTGCACCCTCACCAATCTGGGACCCTCGAGGGATGTCTGACTGCCCGGACATCCCTCTCACAATCCAGGACTGCTGGCTCCCAACCGCTTGCCTGCCTGCCTGCCTGATTGCCCCTACCCGCTTCTGCCTGCCAGCCTGTTCACCCCTAACCACTCCCCTACCACCTTGATCAATGCCTAACTGCTCCCCTGCCAACCTGATTCTCCTAACTTCCCTCCCCTGCAGGCCTGGTCACCCCTAACTGCCCTCCCCTGCAGGCCTGGTCACCCCTTACTGCCCTCCCCTGCAGGTCTGATCACCTGCAACTCCCCACCCCTGCCGGCCATCTTGTGGCGTTCATTTTGTGTCCATATGGGGGCGGCCATCTTATGTGTTGGAGTGATGGATTTGCATATTACCTCTTTATTATATAGGATGTTCCCTATGGGTACTTTACATCCCTGTGACTATTTTGTGACTACCAATTTGTAATTCTTAATCCCTTCACCTTTCTCATTCAGTCCCCCAACACCATCCCCTTCCAGCAACCATCAGTCTGATTTATTTCAGTATCTATGAGTCTGTTTCTATTTTGTCTCTTTATTTATTTTGCTCTTTATTTATTTATTTTTTAAATATATTTTTATTGATTTCAGAGAGGAAGGAAGAGGGAGAGAGAGATAGAAATATCAGTGATAAGAGAGAATCATTGATTGGCTGCCTTCTGCACACCCCACTTGGTATCAATCCAGGCATGTGCCCTTGTCTGGAATCAAACCTGGGACCCTTCAGTCTGCAAGGTGGCACTCTATCCACTGAGCAAAACCATCTTGGACTATTTTTCTCTTTAGATTTCACATAAAAGTGAAATCATATGGCATTAATATTTCCTGATTTATTTTACTTTGTCTGTTCCATTTTTAATTTTTTTACACTTGATCTTAGCCAAAAGGCCGAGAAGAGATAACATTTTTAATTTTTTTGAGGAAACTCCATACTGCTTTTGACAGTGGCTGCACCAATTTGCATTCCCACCAACAACAGTGCACAAGGATGCTGGAAGCCGGTCCATCCTTGCTGCTTGACACAGTCGCTGCAGGGAAAAAACATCTGCACAGCTTGTTTCAAGGGACCTGGCGTATACTGCATATGTTTGCTCCCCCTCTTAGCGCTATGTGTTTTAAACAGGACCACCTCCCCGAGAAAGGTTGTTTCCCCAGGTTAGGGATTAACAGGACTAAGGAAGAGAATAAATCAGTAAATCCCCCTAGTGTTACAGAAGTACCATGTACTACTTATGAAGAACTTGGACTAAGACTGTTGGCAATAAATTTGGGACTTGTTGGGCCCACATCCCCAGGGGTCTGCCCACCAGGGAAAGCACCAAAGCCTATACCCCTGGAGATCCACCGACACAGGGCAGTCCCAGGGAAGGCAAGCAGTGAGGCTGGGAGGACATAATCTTTACTGGGTAGGATAATCTCCTTCAGTCACTTCCTTGTAGTTTATCAGTAGAGCAGTGACCTTGGAATAGCCCTTATAATGGAACACAGAGATTAACCTAGATAAGATTAAACTCAACAGAACTAGATTAACAAATGCCCTAACCTTTGGAATAGAATGGATAGGATTAAAATCAACTGGTATAAATACAGATGTAACAAGAGAATAAAGACAGAACCTAGCTAGAGAACCTGGCAGGAGAACCTGGCGGGAGAACCTGGCAAGAGAACCTAGCTATGCTGATCAACTGAACGCTGCCTCCATGTCCTTCATTCTTTGCCGACTCCGTCCACACCTTTGGGAACCCCTGGACCTGCTGGGGCTGGACCCCAACACAAGGATTTCCTTTTCTCCTCATCCTCACCAGCACTCGTTGTTTGTTGATTTATTGATGGTGGCCATTTTAACAGG